AGACAGACAGACAGACAGACAGACAGACAGACAAAGGGGTTCATGGAGGAGCTTGGGCATCTGAGGTGGTTGTGGCTTCTCCAAGGGAAGTTTGGGAGCTGACTGCTGGGATATCCACTGCTGAGCTGCATCGGGTTCTCTAGTTTCTCCAGGAGATGATAGTTGATCCCAAAACACATATATTGAAACAAATATCTGTTTGACTGGGTAGAACTGCCCTCCAGTTCATCCATCCATTCATCCATCCATCTACCCATCCATGCATACATATATCCAATCATTCTTCCTTTCATCCATCACTAAACAAATATTTTTTAGTATTTCTCATGTGACAGCACAGCGCTGGGCATCAGGCATATACAGTTGAATGAGACCCAGCTCCTGCTTCCAAGAAACTTGTGGTCTAGTTAGGGAGACACACAGGCAAATGAAAAAAGGCACAGAAGGATTCTAGGAATCATTTGTGCATTAATTCCTCTATCCAACACCTATTTACTGAGCACCTGCAGTTATGAGCCGTCCTCATGAGCTTACAGTCTAGTGACAGAGGTGAGGATGGGCATCTTGTCTTCTGGAACATGTCTCCAAGGTAGCTTCAAAGGCAAGAGAAGGTTGGAGGTGGCATATCAGCTCTTAACTGGAAGTGACATACATCGCTTCCTCTCACAGTCCATTGATCAGAATTGATCATATGCCTCCAAGCTAACTGAAACGTAAGCTGGAAAATGTTGGGAAGGAACTGAGATATTCAGTGAGCACAAACTCTTTATGCCACAGCAACCAATGGTTTCTGCCACTCCAAGTTAAGTAAAAAAGACTCCCCCTCATGGAATTTGAATAGTAAGGCAAATAATTCAAGGACAACAAGAACCACATGACTTCACTCATATGTGGGATATAAAACAGAAAGCAACAAATGAACAAACAAACATAAAATCAAAGACACAGACAACAGTATGGTAGCTACCAGAAGGGAAGGGGAGTTGGAGGAGGTAGAAGAGACTAAAGGGGATCAAATATATGGTGATGGAAGGAGGCTAGACTTTGGGTGGTAAACACACAATGCAATATACAGATGATGTATTTATTATACAACTGTACACTGGAAACTTATGTAATCTTATTAACCAATGTCACCCAATAAATTCAATAAAATTAAAAAAATAATAATTCAAGGACAAAAAACGATAGGCGCTTCATCATTTCAATGGCATTGCCTGAAGAGAATGTCCATTAGTTCCTATGTCCAGAGTTTCCCAGGTTTCCAGTCCTTCCTGAGGACTATGCTTAGCTCTTTCTTTAATTCTTCAAGGCACTCAGCTTCTTTTTTGTGCATTCCTTTATGGCTTGAATTAGCAGGAATTGTTTTCTGTTGGTTGAAACCACAGAAGTTTAACAGCTACATATCTCTAAATCACTTCTGATACATTGAACCTCAATAAAGAATGAACAGTTCAAGTGCTGTCTGCTGGTCAACATTGTACTTTCTGAAGCATCAGTCTATTTATTTCAATGGTCGTGTTTGTGTAATTATTCAAATATATATTTTGCATTTTGTCCACATTGTTTTATAAAACTCAGTGAAACTGAAAACCCAAAGCACTGATGCCTGCAATAGGAGACAGAGATGAAAATCATTAGGTGAATTCAGAGGGACACATTTTTGGCCTTAATAGGTGCCCATGGAATTGGAGCAAAAAGAAAGAAAACAGAATTAAAGAATGTATATGAAATGTTGGAATTTCATCATTGAGGATGAAATCTAGAAGGTAACATATGATTAGTGATATAATATTCTCTAAATCTCTGGAAATGAAACCTGCTTTATAATAGGCAAGACTTTTGTCCAACTTTGGGGCAAGTTTTTAAGAAAGCGTATGTGGGCACTCCCTGCATACCCTGGGCAGCATGTCCTCCTCCTTTTGCCCTGCTTCCAGTGGCTCTTCCTCAATGAAGAGTGAAGTGCTCAGCACTGGTCCCTCCTCTTCCCCATTCAGGGCCTGCTGAAGTTGACCTGGGGTCTTTTGGTACGGGCCCTTAATGCCACTGCGCAATCCCTCAGGCCTGTTTCAGCTGGGGCTGCCACCCACCCTAGTAGAATGTGGCAGGAGCTCTGGGTGCCATCCATCCTGAGATAAAAGCTAAGCTCTTGGGGAGGTGACCTCAGGGATCAAGGTGGAGAATAAGCCAATGACATGCGTGAGAACTCGAGTGGCCCCAAATCAGACAACCTGTAGAAAACAGTAACAAGTTCTCAAGGAGGCACATGGCTTGGGAGTGGGTGGTTAAGACCAAGAGAGAAGTCTGACAGATGGTGTACTGGCTGGGCCAGCCAATAACAAAGAGAATGAAGGTGAGGCAAGCCCATATATTAGGTGGTTATGGACATTTATATGCTTGGCTTGGTTGTTTGAATGGTGAGGTAGAGCAGAATGGAAAGCCCTTTGTTGAACTTGCAGTCCGGAGTATATTTGAATCAACATTTTGTCCCAACATTTTGTCATGAAAAAAATCATGAGAGTTTTTTGGCATAAAATAGAAGTTAATTTTGTTTGGCATTAAAAAGTGTGTGGTAATAACCTATGTGCCTGATTATGTAATCCATTCATGAAATGTTAATTCTGCTGTAATAAGGTGTTGAGTGAAACTTTTCCTGTGGCCACAAAATTAGAACTAGGGCCCACAGGTGAAACTATTAAGTACTAAGTACTCCACATTCTAATGAAGTCAATAAATGGCTCAGCCGCTCCCACCTGATCCCCATCCCAAGGGCTTTCTGAGAGTTTGTGCAACCGGCTCTGCCATAATCTCAACTCCCATTTCCCATTCCCCAAGCCACCCAGCAGATAACTTGTCAGGGAGGGAGAGAGTAGGAGTGGGTGGGATACAGCATCTGGGCTGGGGGCTACCCACAGCAAACGCCACGTTCTTTGGAAGAATCATTTATGGAGGCTGGAGGTGCCTTTTAGGATGGGAGATGGGCATCTCATGGCTGGATGGCTGGAGCTGGGCTACAGAACACAGAAAGAAGTCACAACGCAGGGTCCTGAGGAGAAGGTGGTGGTAGCCCCCGACCCAGTCCCCTGGGCTTCCCAGGCAGCCATTGGACACACAGAAGCTGCTGTACTCAGAGAAGTGCATGGGGGTGCCTACCACTGTTGGGCTAAAGAAAGACATGGCTGCTGCTTTTAGAGGGGTCTAGTGGTGAAAAAGGTTGGGGAGTAGCTGAACCCCAATCGCCGGGAGGACCATACCCTGGATAGATACAAATGTTGTGAGAATCTGAAGCTTTTCCAATTTTGAAGAACCTCTTCAAGGAAAAAAAAAAATGGCTGGCGTGCTTGGATGGGGCTTATGCAGGCGAAAGGCTGTGAAGTTTCAACTTTATTCACTTCATAGTGAACCCATCTCTGTACATGCCCATGTGGTCAGGGACCCCCTCCTTATTTCTCACCCCCAGCCAATATCAGAGAGAGGAAGAAAACTTCCTCAATAGCGACCAGTTAAGCTTCTGCTGTGTTCCTGTTACTGGAGAGCCGGCCCTTCTCAGAGCGGTGTACAGGTTCTTGGCATCTCGAACAAAGAATTGAACGAGACACAGTAATACAGGGTAAAACAGCAGTTTATTAGAAGCAAAAGTACACTCCAAAGAGGTGGGAGCAGCTGGAGTAGAAGGGAGTGGCTCAAGGGCCCTGACTAATTAGGCTTTGGTAGTTTTTATCCCTTTTTCTCTATAATGGGTTACTCCTCTCTAACTGTGGGCCTATTTGATTGATACCTGTGATTGACAAGAGGCTATTACCTCATCTTTTTAGACTGCGGATGTTTCTTCCCAGAATTCAGTCTGTTATAATAATATTAATGAACTTCTGGGCATATGTATGATATTACAATGATGGTATAATGAGACTAAGGTTAGATGAAGGTGGTAGTAGCCTTTACTGTGCAGGTGTGAGTGACTGGTCTAATCTAGTTAGGCATTTTGTATTCTTTAGTTTCCCTGTAATGGTAAACAAGGGAAAGTTTGGGTGGAGAGGGGAGGTCAATTGGGCAGTTATTTCTTGTAGGCCATGTTGGATGTGCAGGAATGTTATCTGATGTATCCAGGCATCTTGGAAGCCCAATTCCTGTCTCTAACTGCCTGCCTTATGTCCCCCTTGAGAGACATGATCCCCATAAATCTCTATGGGAAGTTGAGGGGCAGGAGATCTCTTCTTCCGTATCTGCTTCCTGCTGAATGTGGCTGTTGTTCATGCCTTTTGGGGATTCACGGGACTCTTGCCCTATCTGATCTTAGATGAGGGGAAGGGGTTTCGAGATTCACCTGGAGGACCATGTTGACCTCTGTGGTGGGGATGTACTGGAAGTCTTGGTGGGGTATCACTTGTATCCTAACAGTCCCTAGATGAGTAGAGATAGATTTTAGTTAATAAAGTTAAAAGTGTTGGCCCAAGGAGCAGGACTCAAAGCCATTGATGCAGGGTGACTGTGTGATGGAAAGTTTGTTCAGCTTCATGGAGTCTGTGGCCTTTCTTCTGGTTTAACTGGTCATTCAGTTATTGTTCACCCAGGAGCTAGGCCTGGAAAGAATGCTGAGCTACAATGACCATAGTCAACAAGGATAAATCACAAGCTCTAGGGT